ACATGAATTTGCCATGTGTCCCCTTTCCCGGCATGAGTAGCACTTCCTCTTCGTTTGAACCTTTTCTTCCTTGCTTATGTGGTGTTTTTCATTGCCTTGCTTCTCCTAGTTTGCTTGAGCCTTCTTCTCAAGCTTGTTTGGACAACCCGAAGCTAGGTGGCCCAATGTGTCACAACTATAGCACCTCATGTGAGCAATCTTCTTCATTTTCTCATCTTTGTTCTTGCTCACTTACTTTGCATCTTGATTCATCCTTGGACACATTGCTCTTTCTCTTGCTTTTCCACCCCTTCTAGTTTTCTTCTTCTTTATCATCAAATCACCACCATCTTCATGGTTGATCTTGATTTGAGTTTGGGGCTTCTTTTCTTGCTCATCTTATGGCTCTAGTTGAGGCTTCACTTGTTGCTTCACCAATTGCTTGGTTGGGCACATAGAGGTGAGATGACCCCATGTGCGGCACTTGAAGCATTTTACATGCTTGAGCCTCTCTTCGTCTTTCATCTCCTTGAGCTTCTCTTTGTTTGGGCAAGTATTTGCAAGATGTCCCACTTCATGGCACCGATAGCACATGAAATGAGAAAGCTTCTCTTTCTCTTGCTTCTTCATCTTCTTTTCTCTCTTTCTTTCACCCTTTGTCATCTTCTTCTTGAAGCTAAGGCCACACTTATCACCATACTTTCTTTGAGTATTCAACATGTGCTCAAAGATGACTTTTGAGTTGTAGCACCTCTATAACTTGCTGCTCAAATTCTTCACTTCACTTTTGAGCTCATTGTTCTCCTTCAAAAGGTTAGTCTCACAAGACATAGAAGTAGAACAAGCATCTATTTGTGAAGAACATGGCATTTCTAATAAATCATCACAAGAGGTGGATACATGCTTCTTGCCTATATCACAAGGGTTAGCAACAATATGTGATTGATCAATTGACCCATGTGATGAGCTCTCACTAGTTTTAGTTTTTCCATTGGAAAGCTCCTTAGTGAGAAAAGCATGGTCTTGTACCAAGTTATCATGAGCAACACTAAGTTCCTCATGAGCTAATTTTAGCTCCTCATGTGAACAAGTAGTAACATAAAGTAGATGCTTTTGTTGTTCATATGTGTTCTTTAGAAAAGAGTTTTTATTTTTCAATTTCTCAGTTTTAGCCATCTCTTTTTCTAAAGCTTTGATCATGCAACCATATCTATCTAGAAGCTCCTCATATGAATCAAGATCAATCACATTTGCATTAGATACCTTAGTGTCACCTTGTGACATGAAGCAATGTGATGTAGTTGGAGAGCTTGAAGAAACATCACTCTCATAGCCCGAGCATGATCCATCATTATCACCATCAAGTGTGCATGGAGTAGCATCATCATTGGCATCACTTGTGGCATCATCATCAATCTTGTCAAGTGATCTTATGGTATGATCATCATCATCATCACTTGACCATGCGGTGGAGCAATCTTCCACAATTACTGAATTGTGGCTATGCTCAACATCCTCATGTGCCTTCTTCTTGGGCTCATCATCATCATCGAAGACCATCACATACTTCTCATTGAGATAACTCCAAATCTCATGACCGGTCTTCATGCCAATGATCTCACCAAATATGCTATCATCCAAAGATCTATATATGATGTCAATAGCTTGGGTGTCGAGATCTAAGCATTTCTCTTGTGCTTGAGTTAGATTATTTTCATCCAACACATGAGAAAATCCTACATTTATCATCCACCACATTTGAGGGCAAATAAACTTGAAATTACATATCATCCAATTTTTCCACCATGCAAAGTGTGTGCCATCAAAAGTGTATGGACACTCAACATGTAGCCCATAAGCCGCCATCCTCTCGGGTCGGTGAAGACCACAAATGAGAGACCTAGCTCTGATACCACTTGTAGGGTCGAGATGGCGGACTAGAAGGAGGGTGAATAGTCATTTCTAAAATTAAACGCGTTGGCTAACCGAGATAAATACGGAATTAAAACTAACGGTTTAGCCAAGACTACACTCCTCTATCTAAGTTCACAAGCACCTTATAAAGATCATAATTATGCAACAAAGGTGCCTAGCTAGCTAGAGCTCACCTAATTAATTCTAGAGCAAGGTCACACAAACCTATGCACTAGTACTTTGCACAACCGGGAGAGCTCCTACACAATCTAGTAAGCAAAAGCACAAAGCTTCTAAGCTCACTAGCAATGCTCAATAATAAGGCAACCAATGCCAAATTAGAGAGCGCAAATACTTAGCTACACAAACTAACTTCAAGCTTAAAACATAGTACTACATCTGTCCTATAATATAGTGCATTCTAGGAATTTTAAGACAAATTAAGAGATAACATAAAAGACATGTGTACCCTCATTTTATTTCCTAAGCAGACGCTATCATCAACATGATTAATGGTGATTGGTTGATAAATGAAAAGTATTTAATGCAAAACTGGTTTTTGTCCTCTAGAATGCATTATATTTGAGAACAAATTTTGAATGTTAGAATGCACTATATTACATGACGGATGTGCTAAGGCCTTTGCGGAGAACTAGCAGACCTTCCGAAACCACGTCACACCCTCCAGGTGTTAGGGCATCCACGAGATCTAACAATGACGAGTTTATACTAATTCTATCTCTATTCCAAATTAAACATTTCTTTTAAAGGAACAAGCATGAGAGTTGTTGATTATATTAAAAGTAAGATGAATTCAGATTGGATAAAACAACAAAATTATAACACAGCAACGGGACCATGAAGGGTCGAGCTAGAATAACAAACAAAAACAATGACAAAACTAACAACTAAATTAAATCCGGATTGAAACATCAACATTGTTGAGGACATGCAGCCTTCGGATATGGCCACTGATTATAAGGTGAGCTTATTCCTATATTTGCATAATGATAAAACCAAGAATTAGTTGCTACCTAGTATTGGTATTTCAAATGTACTTAGGAACAACGCCGATGATGATGGAGCATGAGACCAATCTCAAGGTGCAAATCCATCAAAGTTGAACATTCAGTTCGCCGATAGCCCGACATTGTTGCATTACGAAGGTCATAACTCTTTCATACGTAGTGCGATTGAGGCAAATGAGTACACTATGGAAAGCTTACTTGATAAGTTTTCAAATGGGTCTAGTTTGACCTCAAACTATTCCTTTGGGGAGGACATCCAAGGGCTTCCTTCGTGTGTTCTCCATATCCTTAGAGCTTGCTCCAACTTGGGCCAGGGTCACAGGCCCATGATGACGACGTTGTCCTCGGCTAAAACGGAAACTTGTCATGAAGGCTTGGAAGCCTTGCCGCCGTGATCTTGAGGTTAAACCTGAAATATAGCAACTTCCTTTTATTTTAGATTTCACAATTAATGATTTTAGGTTTCACAAAATACAACCTCCATACTGGAAACATTGCATTCTAGGTGCATCCTTGGTTAACATGCCTAAAGTTTGACCAAATATATAAGTAAAAATATTAATGTCTATAATATTAAATATATATTATAAAAGTATTTCATATGATAAATATTAGTATTTTTATATAAATTTGGTCAAATTTGTCATACTGAAACATGACACTGTTTAAAATTGTATCCTTTTTGACATGGAAGGAGTAATAACTACTTCCCCTGTCCTAAAATAAGTGTCGTTGTATGATTTATGCTGGTCGAACTTTATTAAATTTGCTAGTTTTATAAAAATATTAACATTTGTATCTCCAAATAAACTTATTTATTAAGAAAATATATTCAATGATTTACATAATGATATTAATTATATAATATAAATATTGATATTACATATGTTTGGTCAAAGCTGAGGGCATGTTTAGTTCATGCCGAAGTTTGCCACGCCAAATCTTAGGCTGCCATGAAAAGTGTGTCTAGCAAATCAAAGTCATACTTTTGATAAAGTTTGGTAAGAAAATAAGTATATAACATGCGAGATATGGTGATATAAAAGTGAAGCACACTATAATTATGACGGTGAACCAAACATATAATTATGAAAGTGTAGCACATTATAGTTTTAGATCATTTTTTTATAGGAGTTACTTCCTTTCTTCCTAAATAACTGTCGTTTTCGCTTCCCGAGAAATAACTTTAACTAAATAAATATATATATAATAATAATATTTATAATATATATAATTAATTAGTATCATTAAATAGATCGTTAAATCTATTTTTATAATAAATTTATTTAGAGATACAAATACTATAAATATTTTTTTTATAAATCAAGTCAAATTAATTGCATGAAAATAAAAAACGGCAGTTATTTAGTGCGTGTTTGGTTGGTTACCAAACCACGCCAGACCCTGCAGCACATGTGACGCCTTAGATTTGGCAACCGTTTGATTGCCGTAGTTGAGGCGCGCCGCATCCGCATCTCGCCAACGCCAAGCAAGCCATTTTCCACACCAAACGTCGCCAAAAATCTGGCGAGCGATTTCCTCGCCGAGCATTTGGCGCGGCCCCAACCTCGCTGCGGAGTATGTAGGCGCCATCAAACAGGCCTTTATGGACGGAGTAGACTAGAAAAAAGATTATTTCTCGGTTCAGCTACCGCTGGAGCTCCGGCCGCAGCAGTAGCTGCAGCTGTTCCGGCACAGCACAGACTCACAGTGACTGAAAAGACAAGTCACGAAGGGCTCTTCAACAGTGTCGACTCTGTTCTTGGCTCTCGTTTCGGATACGCATTTGACCATTTAAGCAACGAAGAGTAAAATATCCGACACACCCCCATTCTTGACCTCTCCAACGAGCCCCAAATCCCCATGCTCCCTCACTCTCTTCTCTCCCCAGGTGGCAGCAGCGCCTCGCCAGCGGCGCCGGAGCAAGCGGCGCCCGCCGTGGACGCGGCCTGCCTTCTTCCCTCCCTCTCCCGGCCAGATCTGGCCCACCTCCCTCCCCTTCTTCTTCCCCGACCCTCCCTCTCCCGGATCCGGCCGGTGGAGCTCGCGCCCGCGCTCGATCCCGTGTGGAGGAGGGAGATGGCGGAGGTGAGGAGGATGGCGTGGCCGAGGTGGAGGCGGGCCGCGCGCCGGGGCAGGGCTCGTCGCGTCGGAGCAAGCTTGCCGCGCGCGCCGGCGGGGAGGTGGGTTGCAGCACGGGGCAGGGCTCGCCGCGCCGGGGGAAGCTCACCGCGCCGGGGGAAGCACGGGGTAGGGCGCTCCTAGACGCGAGCAGCCTTGCTCCCAGACGAGGGTCCTCGAGCCCGCCTCGCCCCGCCGGCCGCGCCCTGCCTCGACGGCTCCTACGGGCTCACCACTGTAGGTTTGGGTCGGCTCTCGACGCAAAATTGCCTTCCAACTCGCTGAGGACGTAGAATACATAGCTGCTTTTGGTCTTCCGTTGGAGTGTTTTGGGGACTCAAAACAATGTGCGTGACGCATTTTTTGTGTTTAGGTCACGCCGTTGGAGACAGCGTAAAGGCGCAGGTTCTCGCTCGGTCGCTCTGCCCACAAGAACGAAGCAAAACCTTAGTACGAATCAACAAGAACATCGTTTTTCTATCGAGGATCAAGGTATCTATCGCCACCATCCGCCCTCCTCCTCCCTCTAATGCCTGTCAAAGTCGTCCCCTTTCGCATGATTAATCTGGGTCCAAATCTGACTCCGCAGAAGAGCAAGAATCCCCCATCTCGCAGTCCCCGTCCCCAGTCCCCTCACCGTTGCTTGCTGACGATGCGTCGATTCTGTTGTGTCTGACAGGTGCTCCGATCGATGGCATCCCTCCCCATCAAGCCTCTGGACGGCGCCGGCGGCTACCTGCGGTGGAAGGAATCGTTGCTCCTCCGCGTGCACACCCTCGGCGTCGCCCACGTGCTTTTCGAGGCCTGTCCCGCCGGCGCCGGCGCCGGCCACGAGGCCGCCACCGCCAAGAAGTGGGCGCGCGACGACGCGGTGTGCCGCGGCCACATCCTCTGCACGCTTTCCGACCGACTGCTGCCGGACTACGCCCGCTTTGCCACGGCCGCCGAGCTGTGGCGCGCGCTGGCGACGTGGAGGTGCCGTCCTACTGGAGGGACAGGTTCGATGAGTTCCGCTTCGACAGAAGCACCGGCGATGTCTTCCTGGAGCAGCTCGCGCACGCGGAGGCTCTGGGCGCCGCCGCAGAGCTCAGCGATGGCGCCGTCGCCTTCGGGCTGCGTAGAAAGATCCCGGCGACGATTAGCTTGGCCGTCACCCGTGGCAAGGAGTTGGAGTCTATCTGGGAGGTCGCTCGGAGCGTCGTGTCGGACGGCGTGGATCCTTGGAACCAGTACCGCGGCAGCGACGACGACGACGACGGTCCAAAACCTGAGCAGAACACGAGTAGCAGGAAGCGTGCCATGTCTGAACACGTTGCCAGGCGCAGGGCTTGACCATGGGCTTGCCCACGCTAGCTGTGGTCCTGTGGATGTCAAGAGCAGTGAAAAATGGTTACCCACTCCCAGTCTTTAGATGATGTTAGTGTTTGTATTCTGTAATCTAGATGCTAGACTGAATTATGCCTGCTAAATGCCCGCTGACGCTATGCTATAATGCACGTCCGCTTGAGATGCTATCAAGCATTTTCAGGCATGTTTAGTCAAGAGTCAAGACCAGCTAGGAAGCTATGAACTTGCGAGAAAACACTGCAAGGATGATCCTATGAATGGACGGAATATATGCTATTTTGTTCCTAATTCATGTAGAATAGGGTGAAGCGGCGATGACTAAGATTAAACCAGAGGAGATGCTGTCTTGGTAACTTTGTGTTGAACTCACAAATGATGCTAAGTTTGCATAACATTGCATCATGCAGCACTCTTTCTGTGGCCGTTTGTTCTGCTCACAATGATTGTTATGTCATCTTCTGGCTACATTGATCCATCCTCCATTCCTGCTATTGTAAAAATGTGTTGGAATTTCTGCTGGTGAGTTGGATTGCTGCAGGACACGATCAGCTGTTTGCGGTCTGTGTCTGTGTTGTCACAACCGATTTGAAGTTTGTGCTTGTTATTTTGGGCTTCAGAATTCCTACTGTCAGGAGTTAATGTTCACTTGAGCTTATTCAGCACTACTTATCAATCGAGACCAACACTTTCACAGTTCTGCTGCAACGAATAATGGATTCTCAGTCATCAGGTAAACTTTCCATCCACTGGCATTACACGGCTCATCACATGACTGCTTACAAAATTTAGAAAGAAAAAAAAAGAGAGAAGAAAATTGTACAACATGCACACACTATCATCCAAAATCGCAATTTGTGGCACATGAAGCTTGACATTGCATAAAAACTGCCACCTCGATGATTTCATGTTGGCAATAAAGCGTTGCGAAGGCAGGCATCGCAGATCATGACAGCCTTCGTTCCACAATCCACTTAGAAGTGGCTCGCTCAAACTAATTTACCTTATAAGGACCAAAAAGATTTGGTCGTTAAGCAGGTTCTGTCAGGTCATACGAAGGTTAGGCACTGCACTGTACTAGTAATGGCCACCAATCGCTGACATTTTATGGTTAGTCAAATATATGAATCCTGCTGGATTGTATTCTTACTCTCAGTAGACAGGACTGCGATCTCGTTTTCCAGTCAATCTTCGGCTCTTTGGAGACGGTGATGGTGCTTTACCATAGCCACCCGACCTCATCTCTGCACAGCAAATTCAAAAGTGAAACTAAGCAAAGAAAAGAAAAAAACATCAATTTAGGCAGAGCAGAATTCATTGAAATGCAGATCAGTGAAACTTTTTATTTACCTCGCTCTCTTTTAAGTTCCTGGTCTAACTCTTCCTTCCACTTCCTTTGTATTTCCGAAAAGCTGAAGCTGTCAAAATTAGTTTTTGACTGTTAGAACATATGCTGCCAAATACTTAGAACATATGTTGTCTAATACCTCAGGAGCAAAATACCCCGTTAAATTAGTAGGAGAGCTTTTTTGCAATAAAAATTGAATTGCTGAGTTCTATCTATATTTTCTGCAGAAGTATGAAATACAGAAATAGTACGTGGGTTACCATTTCTTATGTACATTTCGCACAAAGCAAATATGTAGGCTTAATCACAGGGCTAAACACCCTAATTATATTGAATGGCACGAGCATATTTGCAAGGGAATTTAATCTTTCACACTATAAGCAATGCGCTTTGCTCAAACCTTGGATTGCCTTCAGTATCATCATGGACCTTGCCCTCAAGTTTGTTGAGTTCAGGTGAAGCTATTTCTCTCAAAACATGACTGCTCTCCACGCTGCTTCTTGAGAAGCGCCTTGTGCAACTCTTGGGACTGGCATTTTTCAGATTAACACAAATTGGCTCTAAAGCTGCACCACCCACCATCTTTATTGCTCGAGGGGGTAACTGGGGATTAGTTATATTGCTTGCTCGGCAAACATCACTACCTCCTTGAGAAACTCCAGCATTCACTGTGTTGTAGAACTCATATAAAGGTGTCTGTAATTTCTTTAGATCTGTGGCCTGTTAAGAACGAAACGCTTATTAAATGAATTACTGTTTACTAGTAATAATAAAAGGGCTGGAAATGCAATGCCACAAATATAATAAACACCTTTTCCTCCAGAAATTCCTTTATTTTTGATTCTGTAAATTCATCGTCCTCTTCACAGCTTCCCTCGCAAGGGAAAGTAAAGTCATTTTCAGACATCTGACTTTCTGCTAGTTTGGCTAATCCACCAAACTCCCTTGACTCGATAAATTGTTGCTCTGGGCTTATGTCAAGTTTGCTTTCCCATTCATCGGGTTCAGACATAGGATTGAAGCTCTGGAATTGGCAGAAACATCACACAGCTGTAAGGACCCCACTTAGGCGATTTAAAATTTAGCAGTGACACTAGCCAAAAGTAAAGCCTCAAGTGAAAATTTAGAATAGCAAGACTAAGCACATGTTCTCTTACAGATCCAACCATTGGGACATCATCTTTGTCAGCAAACTCACAAATGTCATCATCATTGCATTGCAGATCCCATAATGGCCTGGTGTCTGATGACTTGTAAGAATTCAGATTGCGTAGCTTGCCGGGGCGACTCAAGTTCCTATTGAAAAGTTGAAGTTGCTCAGTATAAAACTGAAAGCAGACAGTCTACCAAGTTCAAGAATACATATTACACAAGGAATCACTTACGAGTCAACAGTAGGCACTACATAAGAAGGAAGCTCGTTTTTGGAGGTTTCCTGTGAGTACTTAGTTGTTTAGATTGCTATTTTAGGTCAAAGAAGTGAGAAAAAAGAATGAAATTAGTTCTGATAATCGAACCTTGGGTGCAGCATGAATAAGCTGACAAAAATCTTCCAATACTCCTGTAACAAATGGGTGCTGCAAAAATATTTTTAAGGTGTTGCTCTTCTCAAAGTATAATACTGTGAAATGCCACTGTCATTAGTGCAGGAAATCTATTGTGCAATACCTGCAACAAGTCTGATGCAACAGATCTCATTTCTGGTTCCCTGAAATAAGATAGTGAATGTGCTTGAGAGTGGAATCATTTATGAGTGGAGTCTTTTATGATTTACAATTTCCAAAAATGGGAAAACTATACTGATTTGTCTGGGCCATAAATTTACCAATGATCTCTAAAGATGTCATGTATCAAGATCAACAGATGTTGATTGGACAACACATCATTACCTCACAGACAACAAAATCGGTGCTAGACCTAGAATCCAATGGTCTTATTCTATATGCTCTCCATTCTTTAAAAAAAATTGTGTTTGTACATGTGCATACTTGTTAAGAAAAAGCTAGAGATCATCACATGCTTCATTGAAATTGTGCCCAGCTTTAATCTTAGTCACCAATGAATAGAGAATTAAGTCTTGTGATGAAATGAAGGTTTAGTAAATGATCTAGAGACACTTTACAAAGATGCATCCATGCCTCTCCTCGAAACCCTATGACAACAAGTGAAAAAGAACATCTTTTTCGCATTCAAGAGATCAAAGTATGTAACAAAAAAGAAGTGAAACACACAAATACTTAAAAAGACTTTGCAGCACAAGAATACCCCATGCTGAGCAAACCAGGCAATGTAAAGATGGAAACTGTCACAAGGGCAAATCAGTGTGATAATAAAACTGTAGTATATTCCATTCTCAGATTATTGATGCATTTAACTTCTGCAAATCTAATATACAACATTAACTAGTTTTTACTATCATGCAAAACAACTATGCAAATAAATCTACTATGTCCTTTTCAGATGTCATCCTAGACAGTGGGTATATTGTTTAGTTTACATTATGCAAATGGAAATCTAGTATTGTACCTTTGGTTTAAAAGTGTGTTTGTAATAATTTCAACAAAGGTGTGTAATTTTTTGTAAGTTACTTTTTGAATATTTCGGTAATCAAATTTCAAAAGGCGGACACAAAAACCAAAGTTATGAGTTATGGTAGTAGCTTTATCTCCATATATAATTGCAAACATAACTGATCAGCTAAAGTATATCACCAATAAGTTATAAAACAAGCACTGCAACAAAAGGCTTCTTATGTTTATTTACAAAGATTGTATAAGCTGGCAGTAGACATTCCTGAGTATAACAAGTTTCAATATTCGACTACATGTCAAAGCAGTTGGTATTGCATTTTCGTTTATGATAAGGAATACAGCACTAGTTATCATTTATCGAGACAGAGGTATAAAGCATCAGAATTGTACTTTTGTAAGCATTTTAACAGAAAATCCTTGGCTTCTGTAGAGAGATGTTCTGGTATCGGTGGGTGTGATTTTGTGGTCCCAACATAATAAAGAAGAGAAACCTGGAAATATTTAGTGAAGGTTAAGAATAATCGATGTCTACAGCTTCCATGAGATAAACAGATTCTGCAAATTACCTCTTGATATTCATGGCTCCATGGGGGTTTGCCTGTTGCCATTTCAATTACCGTGCACCCAACACTCCAGATATCAGCAGAACTGCACCAATGGATAATAAGTATCAATTTAAAGGCCAAAGGGCGCCTAGCTCAAACGGTTAGGTGACCCAGCGGCACTCCTCAGGTCCTGGGTTCGACTCCCCGTGGGAGCGAATTTCAGGCTGAGGTTAAAAAAATCCCCTCGTCCGTCCCCATAACCAAAGCAATGGGGGGGGGCATCGGCCCAATTCTCACTTGGGAGACGGAAAGCCACCATGTAAGGGTGGGGGCGGGGGTTCGGGGGTTTTCTCGGCCGGGTGAGAAGGTCCTTCTTCTTATTTGTAATGCTGCGGGGGCAGTCTTAACCCCCCTGGTCGAGTTTTTTTTTAGTATTAATTTAAAGGATAACAAAGTTTGAAGCAACAGAAACTGTCCTATCTACTGCAAACCATAAACCACACATACTCATGCAACTAATTTTGAGCAACAAATTAACATGAAAACTTAGAGAACATACGCACA